AACACAATATTATCTTTCTCTTTTGTATCTCATAAAAAAATTTCTTTAAAAACAATTAGTAAATTGTTTTAATAGCATAGTTAAACAACTTTAGAATCTTATAAACAATTGTTTTTAATAATATATATATAATTGCTAGCTTAGCATTTAATTTTACCTATTTAATAAAATCTCTAATATTTTTTTCTCTATTTTCAGTTGCGAAATTTATCATTAATATTTTTTTTACCTCTCACATTAACACATCCTGTTAAGTGTAATCATGTATTTTCTATTATATTATATAATAGTTATTGCTAATACCAACTAATAATAATTCACAATAAATATAAATTACATAATTATAAACAATTGTTTCAAGTTATTTATATTAAAATCAATATTATCTTTTTCTTTTGTATCTCATTAAAAAATTTCATTAAAAACAATTAGTAAATTGTTTTAATAGCACAGTCAAACAACTTTAGAAACTTATAAACAATATTTTTAATAATAATAATAATAATTATAATAATGATAATAATAATAATAATAATAATAATAATAATAATAATAATAATAATAATAATAATAATAATAATAATCAAACTGTTATTATCTAATGATAATAGACAATTGTTCATAATAATAAAGTCGTTAATTTATTTTTCCTATGATCAAATTTTTGAAAATGTAATATGTTCATTATCTAGAATTTTAATATTAAATTCTCAAATATTACTTACTAATATTTTATGTGCATCTGTGCATGTGCACAGGATATCTACTAGTTCCTCAATTATGATCCAACAGTCCATATTTAATCTTTTCCGCTTCCCGGAGGTTCAGATTTCATTTTTTTTATTTGAAATTTTGATTAAAAAAAATAGTAATAATAATAATAACACAGTTCGTCAGGGCCGATTCCAGTTCGAACCAGAATCGAAATCGGAATAGATGGTTTACAAAATTTAATTTTGTGTGAACATGAATCGTCTCGAGTAAAACCACGGCCAGTTCAAGGCCCCCGGTCAACGGTTCTGACCGAACCGGTGTGAACCGTAGCCCATGTCTGTTTTAGTTTTTGTGTTAGTTTGAAGACCAATGACAACATAATCACATTATATACTAAAATTGTAAAATACATCTAGTAATAATGACTTATATTAACTTTTGATCCAGAAAACATAAAGCATTTTGAAGAACTTATATAAACTAGTAATACTGAAATAATCTTAATAGGGAAGCACTTTGGTCCCTTAAAACAATTAAGTGTAACATCACAACACATTCATGCCAAGAGCTTGAGAATTAGTACAGCTTCATGCACCATTTAAACATGAGAACATTTTGTGGCTCTTAAACCTCACAAGCTGCTTAGGCTTAAAGACTTCGTCCTCCTCGGAGAAACTCCCGAGACGACCCACAAACTTCCGAGACGACCTGTGTGAGCCCGTTGTGCTATCGGTCTTCGGCTTCAAGTGATGATCATATTCTTCATCGACATCTTTCGTGTAGAAATCTTCAGTTTTGTAGGTTTGTGCCGGTTCGGATGAGATGCATTCGTAGCTTCGCCGTTCTTGGTTCTTCTTGAGGGATTTGTAAGCCATTGGAATTAGACCTTCCATTTTCATCTCTCTTTTTTTTCCTCAATTTTTTTTTTTTCCTTCTTTTATGTCTTTTTTGTTGAGGTTTTGGTGTTAGGAGTGGGGGAAAGAGGATTTGTTTTGACTTTGTTTTTTGTATAGGTTTGGTGGGAATATGATCTTAGGTGTTTTTTTGTACACAATTAAACCTTTTTATTGTGGGGAAGGTTTTGTTTTCTTCAAGTAAAGGTAGAATGGGATGAGTTGGGAACCACATACAAACAAGTCACCTTCATTTGACTTGGATTATCATATAAGAAAATTGAAACTTGGGGTGACTTCATTTGTTTGTTCCTTGAAGTAATCTACCTTCTTGCTTGGACCAAAACTGCAAATTTACGGGTGTATTTTTCTTTATTTTTTTTTTTTTTTT